TGGATATTAGCGTAAACCGACCCGGGCCAACTGATTATGTGTAGTACTACACGAGTACCGGCGTTGTTCTGGCTGAGTTTAACCGACTACTGGCCGGTTAACTGCCACAGTAAAACGGTAACATTTAGCCTGTGTTTACATATATCTAACTCCTATAAACCGCCTCGATATCTAGCGTTAAGAAATCTTTGTGCCGTTTGTGTGCGGACTGATGCTTGTAGCCGCTTGGTGGACAGACAAACAGTGAGGATTAAAGAGGATTGTGAGGGCTGGTGAAGTGAAATGTTTCTCAGTGTACCCACCATGTTGGCTGGGACCAGTGGAAGAGAGGCACCGGAGGGTCATACAGGAAGTTTATAGTTTTCAGGCTGCTCGATCACACCACACCTGGCCAACAGCGCCGGCTAGCGGTGGGGGGAGAGAACTGCATGTGAAGGAAAATATGGAGGGAACAATATTTCACTATTTACTCAAAGTCAGTCATTATTTTATTTAAGTATATTTAAAGAGGTTATTTTGAAGTGCATCCAAGCCTTAAACCAAAGTCTATCAGTATTATTTAGTTATTTATATTTAGAGCTGCAACAATTAGTCTATTAATTGATCAGTCGATGGAAAGAAAATTCCTCAACTATTTTGATAATTGATTCATCATTTCAGTCCTTCCTCAAGAAAAAAACACTCTCTGGTCCCAGCTTCTCAAATGTGAGTATTTGCTGCTTTTCTTTGTATATGGCAGTAAATGAAATGTTTGAAAGCTTGAAAGGTGAATTTTGGAAATGTCCCTACACTGGAAAAACCATAAAATAAAATAAAATAATCTCCTTGAATATTTTAGTTATTTTCAGACCAAATTGCCCAGATCTTCAATATGAGATCTAACACCAAGATATCAAGTATCAGGAGAAATTGGTACAAATAACTTCACAAAGGACATTCCCACAAGGTGGAGAGATCTTTTATTTTACATAAAAAAGGGTGCAAACTGGAGTTTCCCTTTAGGTGTGGAGGGAATAAAAAGTGATTTTATAAGGTTCATGTGTGACACATTGTATTATATGAATTCAAGGAGGGAAAAAAAAACAGGCATCTCAGATAAAAAGGACCTTTACCTTTCTGCAAATTAAAAATATGAAACCATAAAAAGAAGAAACATGGGTCCTTCATTCTTGAAGCCCTTGACTAACTCATTCAAATACATTTTTGAAGTGACATTCATATTTCAACACAATAATATTTATTTACAGATTTAAGATTTCTCTTAATCATAGCTCTGAAAAAAAGACAATGCTGAGGGGAGGATAAACTCTTGGAGCTGTACAATTTGATTTTCCACAGTCTGAGAGGAAAAAAAAAAAAAAAAAAAAATCAAAGAATACATCTTTTATATGGAATCCCAAATGAAAAGAAACAAAGACTACAATTGTGAACACTGTACAATTTACAATTTTCAAATAATCATCACAATATTGCAGTAAATGTCACCCTAAACCTCTCCCTCAAAGAAAAATATACAGTAAATCGAAGACAATTCTACAGTACAGCAACAAGGAAAAAGTGCCAGAGAACCCAAAAAGACCTAAGCCATTCATTCACACTCTAACTGTCCTTTGCTTTGATTTACACAGCTTTGACACACAGGAATGAGTTACACACATCCAAAGCCATTAACACAAGTCTGAAGTGAACCGTATGAGAAATAAAGGGAACTGAAATGGAATGTGCTGTGAGAAGACATGAAAAAGTTATTTATTTTACATGAAGACTGGAAGCCATAACGTCTCAGTGACCCAACAGCATATGAGCCCTACAGGAGAGAAAATTCACCGGAGAGAGAGACCGCTCGCTGTCGTCTCCAGATAAGCCATGCACATACAAATCATACAGAGCTCTCCTATATCGCTCTGTATGAGGCCCAGAGATTAAAAAGTAAATACATCAGAGTAATATGTCTATATCTACCATTTCAGCCGTGAGCTTAAGAGTGAGGCCACCCACAGTTTGAGGAATAAAGCAAATGTTGCAAGGACGACCAGTCACAAATTCAACTCTGAAATAATTAACTTGGTCGGTTTCTTTTAAGTTACGACATAAAAGAAATTAACAACTCAACAGAAACGATTCAAAAAATAAAACACTTTTACTGACACACTCCAACACTTCCTGGTACTGAATTGAGCCATGTTGCGCTGCGATTTTTCAAAAATGACAGTGGACACGTCAAGGACACAAGGTGGAATGCAATGGTCAAAAAACATTCAACTTCATATTTTTCTGGCACAGGTAAAAGGCATGGGCTAGTAAAGTAGTAGTCTCAGGAATGGCACTCGAGGAATTCAGGGGGGGAAACACTGAAGGCTGTATAGTCTTGATATCCATCTCACTACACAGGAATACTTTCAACTTCTCTCCGGTAGCTGGGACACAACACTCCAGGTGCCGCTGATGCTTTGTGGGGAGAATCACAGATCACAGGCAGCAGATGTCACAGGCTTTGGGTGGGTGGGTGGGGTTCACCCTCACCAGATAAAAATACATTACAATGAATGTTTCACAAAGACAAAACAGTGATTTTAACCTCCACACCAGCATCAAACTGCACCTCTCCTGGGTAAAGTTAATGACCCAAGCCTTCACATCAGCTAGCACTGCGCTCCACAGGTGAGTCTGACAAACTTCACCTGTCCAACACCCTCCAGAGGCACTAAGACATCTCGAAGAAATGAATACCTGTCATTCAAATAGCCTGTTTTCCCACCATTCCCCTCAAATCCTATTTGTGGAATTAATAAGATAAAGACCAAGAAAATAATAATAATTAAAAAAAACCAACAAAAACAAACAGAAAAGGTCCCATAGATTTTCATATTCAAGTACTTTCAATAACACAATAACTTAGACCCTGGAGTAACTGACATGTCAGGGGTAAGAATAAACCAAAAGCTATACAGTGTAAATACACGCAACAAGCAGGTTTACATACTGATTCATTGAGATAGTTTGCAACATCTACAACATCGTATTTCTAAAGATGATGGAGCAGGTCCACAAAACGGCAAATCTAACACCCCACTGAGAGTTGATTCATCTAGGACTCGCATGAGTATGAGTGTATGAGAGAGAGAGAGAGAGTGTGAGTGTGTGTGTGTGTGTGTGTGTGTGTGTGTGTGTGTGCGCGCACGCAGAGAGGAAAGGGGCAGGAGGAAGGTGTCATGGCACAAAAAGGGGACTGGGCGGGGATAAAAATCAATTTAAAGTGTATTCCCTGCACCCTATAGGGAAGGCCTAGCACACGAGGCAGCTACAATTAAAGTAATAAGCACGTTTAAAGTACAGTATTAAGAAGGCAGGGTCTTGTCAGGGAAAGCTGGGGTCAACAAATGTAGTGCAGTCATGGTTTCGAACTTTTTTTTTTCTTTTCTATTTTTTTATTTTGTTACCCTCTCTTTCTTTCCCCATAAAACCATGGCTATTTGGAATGGAAAAACAAAAATTGCATTTAAAAAAAAAAAAAAAAAAAAAAAAAATTCACATTAGCAAGATATAAAATAAAAAAATAAAACACTTATGTATGGTAATTCACGCTCTGTTAGGAGGATAGGCAAGGTGACGTATCGAGGATATTGTTTCAAGGCAGTCCTCCATGACACTAAATTAAAAAAAATAAAAAAAATGGTATGGACATGTTCTTATCCGCTCTCACGGCGACATGAGGTTTTCTCTCTCTGCATCGAGGAGAGGGACCCAAACATCAAACATCGCTTTGCAGCACAGGGGTCTTCAGACTGGACACGCAGGGGCAGGGACGTCTTAACACCATTAAAACATTATTACACCAAACCTTACATTTGGCATTGCTCTCTTGAGAATACATCTTCAGTGTTACACGGGAAGTCATTGCCTGCTCTGATACTAGCTGAGAACAGTCTGCAACGTTGGGCTTTTATTATACACGTGACCACGCTGCAAATCTCACAGCCATCATGCTGCCAAGTTGTTTGTCCCACTAGTGGTGTGGTGTGGCGTGGCGTGGAGTGGTGGTCGACTGGTTGGGGTTAAGGCATTGGACTGTAGCGTCGAGAGGCTGTGATTCAATCTCCAAAGCACATAATGCCAGTTACTCTTGTCGTTTCAAAGCAACATCCCCCAGTGTCTACTGGTTTAGAGTCCATTATTAACCATCACATTATTAAGATCAAGAACAATTAAGACTCCCAACCCACAAATCCACTTAATTTTGGTCTCAATTTTTTTTCCTTTTTTAAACATTATTCTTAACTCCTTAACTGCAATTTCCTTTCCATGCGCATAACAGATTATATGAATGCTCCAAAGTCATTTACTTTTCTGTCCATACATTCAGTGTGTATGTTTTAGAATTAGTAAGAAAACCGGTGGCAACCGAAAGATAAATAGCATAAATAGCATTTTTTTTTTTCCAGCCACATCTACAAGTGTCAGGTTGCCGCCCATCATCACAAAGCCAACAGGAGCAGAACTGCATGAGAGTCAAAAGAGACTGTAGTGTATTTTGACAGCGGCGTGGTTAAGGGGAGTGCTTTAACCAAGCAGCGTGAGCAGAAATCATCCTCAGAGAACACAGTGCAGGAGACATCTCTGGTCTTCTGTTCTCTCAGGCCCCGGTCCCAGTGCCAGGGTTGACCTCTTTGGAGGAAAAAAAGTGCAGGGGCCAAATGGCTGACTGATGCTCTCCGTTACACTCCTGGCTCCTCTTTCAGGTTTACATTCAGCCCCACATCATGAATGAAGGGGCTTTGTGTCAAAAATGAGTTAGCAAACTAACGACGGGCAAAACAACTTTCTGGGTGGAACTGGGACTTGACAGAGGAAATGAAAATATGATTTTGTGAGTCAAACAAAGAAATCATGGTATGCAACGGGCTGAACGTGGCAAGATTCCACAGGAAGATCCGTCTCTTCCTTTGCGATACCACAGAGGAGAAACAGCAGAAAAAAAGAAAAAAAGAAAAAGAAAAAAAGCCAAACATGGACAGAAAAATACAAATGCTGGGCGTCTTGGGGAGGGAAAACAAAAACAAGATTATCCTCTGCAAAATTCCAACGAATAGGTTCCCCATTTGGCCGACTGGCCTGCAAAACATTCCCACACATCTTGGAGGAAAAAAAAAAAAAGAATTTTTTTTTTTTTTTTCTTTTTTAAAATAGGACTCCCATCAAAAGACACAAGCATCTTGTACATCTCAACAAACCATTTTTAACTGATCCCTCCAGAGGACAATTCAATCACGATCTTTCAGTTGCCTCTTTTATCTGAATGGGACCTTATTGATTTCTGAAATCACAAACAACTGAGCCGGACACTTGGAACGTTTCAGGCCGGTGGTGGACGATCATTTGTGCCTCGGCGTGTTCTTCTTCCGTTTTCGCTTGAAGAAGCAGCAGCACCTGCAGACAAAGACAGATATTAAATCCATATGTAGATGAGAGAGGCTTCAGATGAAGCAAAAGAAAGAACAAACACGAGCGGATTGCTTAAATTAGTGTGTTAAATATCACAAGAGCTTAATCTGAGTCTACCAAATCTGGACAGATACATGTTTTTTGGAATCATAAGAATGAGAATTGCAGCTGCCAAAAGGTTTGATTAGTAAAACATGAAGATGGATGCATTTCCATCCACCAAGTGTTTGTGTGTTTATTCACCTCTCACCATTTTTAAGAACAAGAAAAAATGGCAGAGGGGACTCAACTACAAACTGCTGCAGTGACTCTGAAGGAAATATTTCTCCTTTGCAAAAAAAAAAATGGGGCAGTGCACACAAAGAGCACAAGACAGGATGAGCCTTAATGGTCAATAAAAACATACAAAGACAAGAAAAAAAGCTGTGGATCAAGACATAGGACAGTGACTGGGTACTCTTAGATTAATTTATTAATAATGGTGCACCATGCAACAGGAGTTTAGAGACCTTTAATCTGAAGCCAAATGTGCTGCAAAAAAGGAGCTTACAAATATTAGGATGATTTTGTTAACTTATATCAACGTACTTGTTGTTTATGCTTTCCGCCCTGATGTGATGTTTGACCAAGTTTTAAGCTAGTGCGCCTGCTCATATAGCAGCATGGTTTACAGTCTTCTTTACTCTATTACTTCACATCAGGTGGTGGTGAAACCAAAAGGCAGAAAAGGGCTTTGAAAAGGAGACTTGATAGTACACATGGCAGACAGTGTTCTCAGGAGTATATAGCACTGTTGTACCAGTGAGAGACTAGTTAAGAATTTGTAAATTACAACTCCACTTTGCCCAGCCTAGGCTGGTCCACTCCCTGTCCCATGAGTCTGATGTGGACTAGCAGAGAGGGACTCACCACAGGTTGAGCATTTTCACGCAGCTACAGAAGAAGAAAGAGGAAAGAGTGTAAAGAGAAAAGAAAGATAGATTAATACAGCAAGACCAAGATGATGGGACTGGGCACATGCCACACTAACATGCACACAAACACACCCACAGGACACAGGTGGACACAGAGGGAAAGTTTTTTTTTTTAGAGCGAGGATTACAGAACTACTCTGCAGTTTATTATGTCTCCCAGAATTCCTGGGAATGAAGGGGTTACAAGATCAAAATGTGTTGTGTAATGTATGCTACAGTTGAATGTACATTTAACATTTAACATCCCTTTTAAACAATTACCGTCTGCTTTCTGAAAATGTATTGATCGTTCATATAATTACATTTCCTTGATTTATAGTCATATTTTCTGATATTTTTCGATGCTAGACATTGAATTATTGTCTCCACCTAAATGTTGGTGGAACGAGAAAAACATCAAGTATAACAGAAATAGACCAGGATTGGGTTGACCAGCATATTTGTAAATCCAAGTTTGTGTGCAAAGACCCTGCTAAGCTCTGAGTAACTAGGAACCAATTTTTAACTATTGATTTACTAAATCTAGTTGCACAATTAAAACTTAAAACGTCTAAGCTCATAAAGACTTTAGTAATGTGTACATCAGTTGCTAGGAAACATCTGTAGCATTGTTCAAGCAAAAGCGATCAACTATGTCAACAGGAAGTCATGATTTACAATAAATGTAGCTTCCATTCCTTGTAAATGGAGGTATGACTTTGCTTTGTTTATATAAAGCTATGTGACTTTATTTCATATTACCCCTTTTAACTCTTTAATCTAAAGAGGTCATATGTTAGTGAGCCAAAGTTAGTTTTGTCAGTTACTTCAGTTAGTCACACAACAGTTTAAATTGTGTGCATATATTTAGTTAAAAGTTACATTTATGTAAGAAATAGGTGACACTGTGCAACCTGCTTAGTGATGCATGTCATAAGTAGGCAAAGTTTAAATTTAGGAGTTGTGAGAGCTGGTGAATATTTTGTCAATGAACCAAAAAAAAAAATAGTGTAGTTTCTACTGCTATAAATCAGATGGAGGATGCATAAACTTATATTGCGATTCTGTCAACTGTACTTTAAAGTATTACTGATGGAAATCAAAATCCAAGGTAAGTTAAATCTGATTCCCGCACAGACTGAAAACCATTTGTTATTGTTCGCCAGTCAGAAGCAAATTTAAGCCCATGAAAGTAAATAAAAAGATTAAAGACCCAAATAATCATGTGGTATCAATTCACCATAGGACCCTGATTTTCCCTCAAAAAGGCAAAACATTAATTAAACTGCATCAGACGTATTACTTCATGTTCATCAACATGTTTGACGAGGTATCAAAGAGACTGGCAGTAAACACACCAATCATCATATCAAACAGTTGTGTGAATGGAGACGACAGGAGGAAGGCCCGTCATCTGGGCAGAAATAGAAACAAGCACAGATTAAAGTGGATGAACCTCTGGGAGATTCATGAAGAGACTAGTAGAAGGGTAATAATCTTTTACAGTGGCTTTGATGCTGGGAAAGATGGTAAATCCCTGTAATGTATTACAATAACTAAGAGCTGAACTGAGGATAAAAACAACAATAGATACTTTATGTCAATATATACAAGGTGTGCAATAGGAAATTTAACCATTTGTTATAATACCACCTGATGAAAACTAATGTCTACTTTAGGATACAGGAAAATGGAGTTCATTTTGCTTTATTGCTGACATTTTAATAATTTATAAATCATTTTCCCTCCTCTTACTGGTCAGCTGCCCCAGTGATGATTGATCTAACATTATCTGCTCAATGGATCACTCATTCAGCCTGACTTATTTGAGTTTTTTTTTTTTTTTTTTTTTTGCGGAGACCTTTTTTTTGCATACACAATAGAAAACAATAGAAATGTTCCACTGTTGTAATTATTCATGTACCAGCTTTTTATGTTATTCTAAACCCAGTGTTTACTGAGGGGGAGAAGAGCACTAGTGTTCATTCAGATCTAACACAACCACTAGTGATATCTACCAGCTACACGCCCACAAACTTTACTGGGTGCACGGGGCTAATATTTTGCATCCTAACATGTTCTTAACACAGGCCCAGTGAAGCCAGTCTTAACTGCACCAGGATTAAGAATGTCTCCTCTGCAGCCTCAGGGTAGAACCAGGCCGACCTGCGCTGTTGGTGTCAAAGCTGCTCGCTGCTCAAACGGAGAGATCTCCTCCCTCAATCAAAGTTGAGTCTTGGAGTAAAAACTTTTGCTCAACCTAAATGTGGTCGTGCAGGCGACTACAGACAAAGCACTATTTTGAAATGTGTCAGCATGTGTAGCTTTAGTGCTTTTGTAGCTTGTAACTTAATCTTCTCTGTTTGCACTTTTATCAAACAAAAAAAAAAAAAACAGCCCTGCCGTTTACTGTGATGTCCAACAACTGCAAAGTACTTATTTCCTCCATTAATATATTTTCTGTCTCGGAGCAGTGCGTCTCAGAGGAGCTCCGCTCAGTTCCTCTCAGTCAGCTGAACCACATGACATTCAGCCAGCAGCACCGTTTTTGCACAGTGGGCGGCCAGCCGTGCAGCATGGCATCATTCCAGCTAGTGATGCTGAAGATTAGCACTGATAGCTCTTTAGCTGGTGCTACCAGCTCTTAGATAAACTGAGCCCAACCAATGCTAACAACAGAGGTTTCCATGTTTTTTCTTGTCATGTTTTCCCCTCAGGGGGGGAGAGAAGGAAGCGACTGTTGCATACAATGACATCATGTGCATCATCTTTATACATGTGACTAAGTTGCCACATGGACAATCTGGTGTGATCTGAACTGCCTGCTTGCAGAGTAGACTGAGAGAATCGACACTGCATTGATCATTACTGGTACTGCTGAAGACTCAATGATCAGTGGAGTATTTCTCTCTCCAGGCTATTAGAAACTGAAGGACATCCTCAGTGGCTGCCACTGAATGTAACCCCCGTTAGTGGCTGACTGCTCCAGATATGAGAAACTGTCTGAGCTCTGACTGAGAAGTTCATCTACCCTGGCTTTCTTTCTTTAAAAAAAAAAAAACATAGTTGAGAGAAAAGCATACGGACAGTCAGCAGTCAAGATCAAAAACCCACACAGTCAGACAGAAGATAATAGGGGCAGGAGCGGGATGACAGCTGGGGGTGGGGGCTGTCACAATTCCACAGCATAACAAAAGGTGGCGAGAGAGAGACAGAGTGAGGCAGAGAGGAAGAGCGGGATAGAAAGGAAGCGACAGATGGACATGGAGGAGAGGTGCGGCAGGTGTGTGACACGTACTTGGCCTCGTCGACCACTTCCACCTCTGCCTGAGCTGTGATCGGAGCGTTGGAATGAGCCGCCAGTGGATCGTCTGCATTCAGCTCCCCGTTGGTTGAACTGACCACCTGTGGCACAGATGGGTATTACTTCGGATCGACCCAATGATGTTTGTACCAATCCACACAACAGTTTGATGTTAGCATGTTGGCCAGAATGTGAATGTGGGAAAACAAGTACTGCTGTGATAGAAAGCTTCTCTGGATAAAAAAAAGAAAGAACAACATGAAAGTCACTTTATTTTCATTGTCTCCTCTGGGGAAACATGTCTGACAATAGCAAGGAACAACACACCAATAACACAAATGCAAATGATATAAAATGAATGGCTTGTATTTAGTAAAGTATTTAAAAAAGAAACCCATTTTTTTCTATCAATAGCCTTCCAAGTCTGTTACCGGTTTCTATGCACATTGTTATAAGTTTCTTATGTTTTACCATTTGTACCTTAATATTTGCAAGGATCTGATAGATCTGTATCAAGATCTCTGGCTTTTGAAATTCACTTTTCAGCTCATATGTTCATACTGTATAGAGCAAAAACTTTATCCCAGGTAAAAACCAAAAAATAATGAGCATTACAAATTACAATGACAGAGAGAGAACAATCAAACACCACTGACAGAATGAGATAATCAAAGACCACCTTTAAAACACAAAAACATGGTCAGCTGACGGACAAATACAAAACCACAGTATGCAAACAATAGCTATTGATGGGTGTACCGTTAACCTGTAGAAGAAATGGTATTATAATTATTGTGAATTGTGTTTTTATGTGCATAGGTGTTAACAGTGTAGACCTTTGTAAATCTCAGCCAAATAAACCCCATCAACTGCCATGCATGTTGAAACAGTGTAGAAAAAACACCTGAAGAAGAAGTTGCCTGTCACTGGAAACACAATATTGTTGAACTGACTTTCATCAAAAATTACTACAACTACCACAGGTCACTTGACTTTGCACAGACATATCAGAGCTCTACTTTGAAAGAGATGCGAGTGAGGGTGAGGGTCAAGTGACTCCTGGAGTTTGTCGGAGCTACTACCAGCTTACTGCCAGCTGAGAACAATGTCTGCATGAGCCTTTGATATAAAGTCCGTAAGTGCATTCAACTCAGTGTCATAAGAGACTGCGGTGGACATTTCTTTTCTTTAGACTTCCATTTCATTTTGTTTGGGTATGTCTTCCTCAATATGAGACATGTTTCTGCCAACAGCAAACAACCAGGAGACATAGTCCATGTACAATAATTTTCACATGGGTGAAATTCCCACTCTAAGCCTGAGCAACTTTCAAATCTCCACACTGTTTCAACATGAATGGCATTTAGGAGAATGAACAGAGATCTACCAAAGCACACACTGTACACTCCTATGCAAACAAAGCTAGAGAGGGACAATCTTTGGTAATGGCAAGGAGCAAAAAAACTACACCAGGAAGTTCCTTTAAGCACAATGACCTTTTTACGACTTAAGAGCATGCGCTTAGCCGGCTAAGCCAGGTCACCATGCAAGAGGCTTCTTGATCTTGCAAGGAATGTCCAAGCGCTATGAAGATTTGTTGGACCTGAGATCGAAATTCCACAACCAGGGCTGCTATTTATAAAGCTAAACCAAATTTTTCACCATCTGGGGTGGGTGGCACCAGATGACATGCATATGGTGGTGCAGAAAAATAACATTTCCCAGCCAGGGGTAAAGGGGTGGGGAAGGTATATGGTTGTAGATCTGTCTCATACACAAGACTAAAAAATGTAATTTCCTGGTCAAAACTCTGGTATCTATGACATTTGTTTGTCAACCTGAAATGAAAACAATAGAGAGATACCAATAATATTGGTTCTTCATTAGTGATTCATTCATTTTTGATAATTATGAACTGTACATACAGTTCAATGAGTAATGGCAACCTACATTGAGCAAAATTTGCTTCAGAAATGTGAAATCACCATTTGATGGTATGATCAAATGGTGATTGATGCACCTGAGTATTGTTGGGTTTTTATTTTGAAATACAAATAAAATCTCTGCCTCATTTCTTAATAAAACAAAGTTGACCAACCTAAAATAGACCCAAAAGATAATAGAAAAGCCTTTGTGCTCTTTTGCTCATTTTCTCTTATTTACTGGCCACATCTACAGGTTTATTTATTTTGGATTAGATCCTATGAGACAGATCTGACTCCATAGAGACTGAATGGGGGCTGTTGGTTGATCAGGTGAGGGGTGTATACCTGCACTGAGCCCCCGTGCCTGTCCGCTGCCAGGTGGGAGGTCAGATAGGAGGAGTTTGCTTGGCGTGTGGGCTGCACCTCCCATGCTCCTCGTCGATCTGAGACCGCTGTCTGCTCAGGAGTCGGGGAGGGGGTGGGGGGTGTCGGTGATGGAAGGGGAAGTGGGAATGGGGTTGCAATGGGAGAGGGAGGGGGGGGGTGATGGAATAATTGCATTAGGAAAGATGGGTATTTGGGTGTGCGAGGCCAGGTACCATGCAAAGCAGCATGAGAAATGGAGAAGAAAAAAAAAAGAAAAAAAAGTAACAAAATAGAAGAGTGAATCAAAATCAAAGCAAGGCTTCAGCCAGAGAACCAAACCAGAAACTAATGAGCCTGACGTCAAACGGAGGCAAGCTCTTACATCTCAAACTTTGGCCTCAATTTAATTATACTTAAATAACACAGAAATTAAACCTAAATTATTCAACATGGTTTCATCCTTTTTAACACAAACAGAATGTTGAGAACATTCACCAGTGAAATCACTGAAAACCAGAAATGCTTGAATCTTCTTAGTAAAAGCATGACAAGAATTTGCACCATAGCTCTGAAACCTGCGTCTAAGGCAACCACAACTCGCAAACTAAAACGTATGCAAAGATGAACTGCAGTCCCGTGGAAATTCCACAGAAAATACCAGTAATGAAACACACCTACGCTGACAACTCCTAATGGTTTCACCTTCTCCATCTGATAAAGAAATCAAATGATTCCTCCTTCACCATCTCTTAGTCCGTCTCATTTCAGTGTTGTACAGTACAGTATGTGAATGATTACAAAGCATTGTCTCAGTCGTCGTCACCAAATGTCTTATCTGAAATACTTGTCAACAGGCACAATAATTAAAAAGCACACTAATTTGTTCCAAACAAGAATATAGAGATAACTGGAATTAATGGTTTGAAAAACATGAATCTGTTGTTTTTGCTTGCATTAGAATGGATGTGACAAATCCTTCTTACTGCAACTGTCCTTCTTTAACAACCAAGACTTCTGAGTTGTTCTGGATGTTGTGTTACAGTTTCCCTCATTCACAGGTCATGTTCAAGGTCGCCCTGAGACTAACTCTTTGTGGACATCTTTGCCAGCGGGGCGATACACTCATATGTGTGTACCTCATATATATATATTTCAGGTTGTAATGGATGGTCTCCTTTCACTAGAACATAGGCCTGACAAAACATACACACATGCCCGATACTAAAAACAAAACTTGGCGTACCTGGTTTCTAATTGGTGGGTGCTGTGAAGGCCGGTCTCTGTGAGGATGGCTCTCTCTCGTGACAGCAGATGCTCCGGAGTCTATATGGACAGACCCCACTGGTGTGGGCTGAGGGGAATAATTATCGGTTAAATCCTGTACAGTCGAGCAGCTCGCTTAAAAATTGGTTCACCGAGTTAACACTTACTATCTGCCTGCCAACCCAGTCGTAAGTGTAGTCGAAGGTGTATCCTTTCCGCTCAAACAGTTCAGTGAACAGAGTCCTCAGATATTCGTAGTCGGGCTTTTCAAAGAAGTCCAACCGTCTCACATATCGCAGGTAGGTGGCCATCTCCTCTGAATTAAAAAAAAAACAAAGCGAAGAATGATTTAGTTTTTAACATGGTTAACGGCTTAACAGCCCGATCCATAATCAAATTACAGCCACCGTCAGCGTACCTGGGAAGTTCTCACAGAGGACCTCAATGGGAGTGTTTCGTTTTGTGTCTCCTATCTTCTGGTATCGTTCTTTCAACGTGTCAGCCTGCAGCAGATCCAAAACATCAAACATATGAACCAATTCTGAATAAATTCTTAATATTTTACCTATTTTTAATACAGACTGATTAAAAGAAAATAATAAATCCTGACTGTTCAGGCTCGTGGATCACACTAAAGTGACAACTGGTTCACTTCAAATTCATATTATCACTTCTCATTTCTCTGCAGTTGTAGCCTGATTTGCTTTGTATTTAGTTCAGCCTGAAGTGTAGTTTAAGATATTTACACTCTTTCAGTTGTAATAATACTGAATTTCAGCACATTCTGATATCGTTTATACACAACTTAAAATAAAACAGTGATACTGATCTGATTATCGCATTATGATTTTAAAGTTGCAGGCTCGTTGTCAATTCAGCTGTAAGATGTGTTATTCTTTTATTGATGAATTTGTCTAAATGGGATAAACCTGACTCTGTAACAGATTTTGGAACCCTTCCATGTACTTGGCCTACCTTTAGTCCTTGCCAAGGTAGACTCCCACGAAGGAAATACATGAACATGTGGCCTAAGGCCTCCAGGTCATCTCGCCGGCTTTGCTCTGTATCAATAGATTTGATAACATTTTACTGAGAAACTTCAAGAATGAAATGCCAACCCACCTTACATAATAAACTTTTATTTAAAATTTTTTTTAAGAACTCTACAGAACCAACATAAAACTATAAACTTAAACGTACCTTTGCCTAAATGTGTATTGATGGACATATATCGAGCAGTGCCAGTCAAACTCTTATGTTCCCGGTATGGAATGTGTTTTTTGGTCTCGGGGTCGATGTACTCTTTGGCCAGGCCAAAGTCAATGATGTGGATTATGTGTTCCTTTTTATTCCCTTGCCGTCCGATGAGAAAGTTTTCTGGTTTTACATCTCTATAGATGAGGTTTTTAGAGTGCACGTACTCCATTCGAGAAATCTGGCAAGACAGAAAACAGCAGAGTCATCAAAAAGAAACATTAACAAAAATCAGATGGAATCACAAACCAGGCCCCAAAGTCAGCAGAGTGGGAATCAAGATGTCAAAAATACTCAAGATCAACAGTTCAGCTGCACAAGTCTTTTCAAGAGCATCGTAAATACAGTAGTTCCTTAGTCATTGATTTCAGCATTGTGACACATTATAAGGGCACTCCTGTTTAGTACTATGCAGCCTGTTTAAATAGTTGTACTATGTCTTCTGTTGCTCTGGAGGGAGCTTTGTTAAGTTTGGTAAAGTCTAATGAAAGACGGCACTGAGTTGTATTATGAAAAATCCAGTGTTTCGCCCACACTAGGGAGTAAAAGTCAGGATGTCTTTTACTCCCCTTTTTTTTCCTTTTAAAAATCTCTCTCCAGCATGTCCCGCAACTTTATGGAAGTGCAACACTTGATTGCTGGAGCACTCCTTTAAAAACAGGATTTAAGAAACGATTCATAAAAACCAAAAACAAATTATTTCTATAAAATTCCTGTCATTATTATAAACAAAGGCAGCAACTAATGATTTTCTTCATTATTTATTAATATAATCAATTTGATTTTACAATTATTTAATGAACCTTTTAATTCTATAAAGTGTCTAAAAGGCATCAGGTGAGGTCTAGCTGCAGTGTCAACTCACCTGATAAATGATTAATCATTTATAAAATAGTCATCAATTAATTTATGCTGATTGATCAATGATTAATTGTTGAATTTTTCAGCATCATGCTGCACAGCTACCACAGCAACCACAGCAACCGATTACTATCACATAACAAAAGCCTCTGTTGATGTTGAGCATGAATTTTAAGGCACTGAGATGCAAAACTGGACTACTGAGACTTCAGACTAAGAAAGCACCAGTAATAAGAAACACAATGTTTTCATAAATGAGAAATGTTAACCAAGTGCTGAGAGCTGGTGTGAGTGACAAAAAAAATGGTGGGAAAAGTATTTTAGGTTATTGTGGCATCAATTGTTTGTACAAGAAAAATAAAAAGCTAGGAGAAAAGAGGAGATTGGCTGAGATGCAGGTGTCTCTGTTCTGCAACACAATGCTAATGTTGTGCTGTTTTGTAGCTTTCTTTACAAATCTGCAGGAGCTATCTTCATTACAAGAGCACTGCACATTTTGTGCTGACAAAATGAAACGTTAGAAATTTTGAGATGTCTGAGGCGCCTGAAAAGACTGGGCCAAACCACCCTCTGAGCTGCTTAAACGTAATGAGATTCAGTGATGGCTTTGCTGTTTTTGACAGCTCCCAGCCTAACAGACTCTGACCAATGGTACATGTATACTGACAGATTGCCAATTTGCAGACTGAGTAACAGGAGACTCTGCACTGGTACTCCACCTTCCCACCTGCTCTACGAGTGTAAGCCCTGTAGGCAAGACTTCAGCCCAAACAAATGATATATTATTGTATTCACACAAACACTGTAAAACAGCTTTGCAGACAGTTTATTCAATATAACTAGTTTTGTACGATACTTTATGGGACTGCAGTAAAATCTCATAATGTTTGGTGCCTTGATTCACCTCACCAGCAGAACCAGGCCATTCTTTGAGACAGGCATGTATTTATAATTTCCCATTTCCCATATTTCATCCTATTTCAGTAGCTCTCCTTTGTGTCAATTTGCTGCTTCAACTATTTGCTATTAAAGGAAACAGAACATGTCCTCCATCTCGGGCGTGAAAGTTCATTTTTTACCAAAAAAAAAAAAAAAAAAACCTTACCAAAAAAACTTACTTATAGGAGGACTTACTAGCTTTCCCCAGAACCTTCAACCAAATCTCATGGTTCAATCAGCTGTCAACTGATTTAAGTTGAGCTATCAACTGAGCACGCTTTTATTTTACTTTGGAACCTCAGCAGGAAGTGTTGAGTTTCTAATGACACATAGACTGTGCTAATTTTACCATGTGCTCCTTTAAAGTTCAGTTACCATGTTTTTTTTTTTCATACAATTTTTACACACAAACATTTTATCAGTCATAAGTGAGTAGAAGATATTTCAAAAACAATTTCACGTGTCACATAATGCTCTGTACTCACCAGCTGAATTGCTATCATTAAGACAGTCTTCAGTGAAAAGGTCCTGTCACAAAGGTCAAAGAGATCCTCTAGACTCGGGCCCAGCAGCTCCAGAACCATGGCATTGTATTTCCCACAGGGCCCAAAGTAAAACACCTGGGGCACTCCCTCTGCTAAAAAAAAAACACACACAGGAAGAAAGAAATTAGACTTAGAAGATACAAAAATCCCAGCTCTGTGAACACAGCTGTACTTTTCTCTAAGTCATCACAAGTCTTTTTTTGTTTAGCTATGCATTTGCAAGTCCATCAAAGAGAAGCAAGATCACTGTAAATAGCTTAGACAGTTAATTGCAAACTGCCAGGAGGAAAAGCAAATACTTATTATTAGATAATAAAAAAGAAGTCTGTGCCTTCAGGGGTTTTTCAGTTGTATATACAAGTGGGAATTCTGAGAGAGCGAGGGTGGCAAAAGAGTTTATTATTGCTGTCTCCCTTGACTAATGATATTTCTAAGTTGGGTCCAAGGTAACCAACCACAAGGGGCCTCAAACTGGATAGAGAGGAGGAGGGGCACCAAAAGGTTACTAAGGACAGAGAGCAGAGAAATCTGCGAGGTAAAACATTAACCTCAAAGTAAAATAAAACACAGTGCCTGCAAATACAACTGTGTCACTCCTCTCCAGCAGGCTGAAAACTAATCTATTCACTGCCTCATATCACAACCTCCCCACTGAATCACATCCTCTCTGCTCTCCTCTCTCTAATTGCTCCAAAATCCCTTCCATCTGTCACCTTGGCTCTTATTTTACTTCTTGTCAAAGTGCAGTTTACTGTTGTGTGGTCAGGTCTAATGCAACAGTAATAACACAGTAGGGCCGGTGCTCTGACCCTTGTACTCCTTCATATGGGCGGTTTGTAATGCTGACGATTTGGGAATTAAAGCTCCTTGCACTGTTAAACTTCGAGAAAAGCAGCGTGTGAACCGTTTGAATTTTTCCTTTATTCTTGCAGTTTTTAAAGAAATTACCTAAAAAGCACACACAGGGGATTTCCAAATGTACAACAAAAGCCACGACTCCAACACCATCACCTCCATTAATCTAGAATAATTTGTAATTGGTGATATCTGTGTCCTTTGTTGTCTGCCTGACCAAATTCTGAACTTTGGTTTCAAAGAACAAGAAATCAGGTCAAACTTTTAACTGCCTTCAGGGAAGCATGACTCAAAGTTTGCCCCTGCTTACTGCTAGCCAGAGTCCTGTTAAAAAGGTCTCCTCAAGAAACTTCAAAGAAATGCCGGCGCTTCAATCATACAGACCTTGCTTTATCAGACTGCTTAAGCTGTGCTCAGTCCTTGGAAATATATAATTGCCTAGAAGTTACAAAAAGTAGGGACGTCCTGATTTCTTTTCATGTCCCTGATCCTGGTCAGTCCTTTCATATTTAGTATCTACGGATTCCAACATTAAAAAAACTCTTTGGGAAATAGGATTACTTTATCTACAGTAGCTTTGTTGGTTTTATGTGTACAGTGTGCTATATACTGTAGATATATATAGGCACATATACTGTATGCATGTTGAGTTTATTTAGATATGAATATATGTTTCAATTTTTCCTCAGTTCTGAGTGGATGAACAGTACAACAAGCTGCAAACACAACATCGAAATATTATCACCTTATACAGTTTCTATACTGAACATGTTAGAAAACAGTTGCTTGCACACTGCTTTACACAATTCAAGGTGTGTTTCACCCGAGTCCAATATTTACTAGCTAGCTTCGTTGTGGTCTCTACCAACTCCTGAGGAAAATATCTGGCTTCCTACCTACTAAATCTATTATTGTTCCACTATGTTTACCAGCTATACGCTCGCTGTCTGTCTGTGAAGCTGGGGAAGCTGTGTACAGTGGATTTATCTGAGCTTTTTATTGAAAACAGCTGCCTGCTGTGCTGGAAAATAAGTCAATGAACATGGTGAGAGTGAATCATAACAGTTCAGTTGCCGGCTGTAAAAGCAAAACAATGAGCTGACGGTAAAACACTCAGCGAGCTGAGGGGAACTGCAGATTGGAGAGATAGTATTCTGTGGGTTTGTCACTATGAGCGACACCTTTCACATTACACAATCATTTGATACATTTTAACATACAAATATTGATTGGAGCAGCTTTTTACATTTTAGTTCTGACCTTAATGCATTTAAATCTGCGTTTACGTACAAGCTTGAAGAGTTGAGAGTGAACACTCCAAGAGACGAGTTGGCACAATTAAGTTTAGTGAAGGTACAAAATTTCAGTCATAAATGTATAATTTTGCTCAGGTAATTGAAGCACAGACTGATAAACAAAAAATACTCATACTAATCCTGATGTAGTGCATTAACATATTTATACTGAATATGTTGCTAAAGACATTTGACTTGCCAGCTGGGTAATGGGAATTACACTGCAGCAGGAAAGGTGGCACAAATGCTGTCAGCTAGCATATGGGCTTGTAGGAGTCATGCTGTGCTCCATCCTGTGTTTCTGGACACAATTATGCAGTTCTGTGGGTTGCTAACTGTACCATAGGAATGAGTGCCTTGAAACCCTAGGTGCCTGTGGGAGGCCGAAAAATGTGTCAGATTGGAGATTTGCTGTAAATAATTGGATAAACGGTTGTACAATTGAAAACAAGCTTTTTACGGGCAGAGGGAAACCTGGGATGGCAGAACCATCATTATCTACGGCAAAACAATCCTTATATGAGATCGAATCTGCGTGTCCTCTGCTGCAAAGTACACTCCGATTGTGCAGGGGGGGGGAACTCAAACCTTGATGTCAGCTACCAATTTTGTGGGTACCACTTTTGACTACTCTCTTCCATTTTCCTTAAGGTCAATGAGTACAATGCCTCGGTGTTGTACTGATTTGGTCGACAGCGCTGTGAGCAAGTGAGACTGTTAAATTCTCTTTTGAATTTCTTATTTTATTCATGCTGGAGACGACGTCTGCTCAAATCCTGATCAAACCATACAGACTGACACGCCTCTCTCTACAGATGTAATGGTATTTGAATGCAGAGGTAGCTTTACTCATTCTAGTATTATTTATTATGTAATAAAACACAAATATTGGATCAAGATGTATTACATATAATTATCACAGCAGCAGGTCTGTGATCAAAGAATTAAACGGTATAAAAATCATTACTACAAAAGGTTTTATTCACAGATGTATCAGTTCAATCAGGCACTGAATAAAACAGCTGGTCCCAAATACGACGATCAAAGAATACATTTTCCTATGCATTACTGTAATCTAATAACGTTCTGGCTGCAGTCCTTTACAACAAAAGGGGAAAAGGCTGAATGTGTGATGAATGAATATGACCGATTCTAAGCCCGACTCAAATGGCAACCACCCAAATCTCCCCTGCACGCTACTTTCTGTGTGTGCAATTTTTCAAGCAGCTGTCAAAGTCCAGATCTTTGTCTGGACGAGACCAGTCCTGAGCTTGGATGCTTTATTCTGACCATCTGGTAGTAGTTATTCTGTTATTAATAATTTACTCATCACTGTTACAAAGAAGAGGGGATGTAGAAATTCACTCTAAGTCATATTTGGTCTCTTTTGTGCCAGTATTTTTGTTGAACTATTTTATGCCGTGTATTGTAACATGTTTAATTTCAACGCCTCAATATTAAAAACAGCAGTTTCTCCGTGCATGTCTGCAACATCAAGTGTGTATATTTATAATTACAGAAAAAAACAAAGTCAGGGGGAAGTCGTCAGAGAAATGAAGTTGGGATTAGTGTGTGGTGCCGACTGTGTGGAGTCTGCATGTTCACCTCGTGCCTGTGTGGGTTTCCTCCCACAGTCCAAAGAAACACGGGTCATGTGAATTCGTGACTCTAAACTGACTGTAGGTGTGAGTGTGAATGTGTTTTTCTCACTATAGATGTGTGTGTGTGTGCGTGTGTGCGTGTGTGTGTTAGCCCTGTGATGGACCTGTCCAGAGTGTATCCCATTATTCACCCACTGTGTGCTGCAGTAGGCTCCAGTGCCCCGCAACAGGATAAGAAGTTTAAAGATTGGTGGAGAAATGGATTTTCGCATTGTAAATTTATGACAGGTGTGTTTCACTGCAAAAACTGTGGGCTGGAAGGGGAAAATGTAGCCTGAGGAGAGAAAGGCTACTCGTGTTGGTTCTGCAGAATATTTTATGGCTCTTGTGGAATACAGCCAGATCTCGGCTGACATCAAGTTTTGTGCACTGTGCCGATCCACTTTGGATTGGCTGCCTGCACCATTTCTGCCTGTGATTGGTTGTTCAGCTTTAAACTCAAATCAACATCACACTGACCAGTTTACAGTTCTGACAGACATATTTGCTGGTTTGCTTCAGTTCAGCTGCTACTTTCCCTAAATCTGCACATGATGTTGATTGTTAATTTGATCATTTGTTGGATCCTTTATTTGACCGCTGTCCCATTTTGTTACATCCATTTGCAATTGGTTTTTATTGTTCCAAAATTTTATTCGGAATTAATTATGCATTCTTCTAAATTTTGATAAAGAATGGAAGATTCATCAGTGACAGTATGATTGATTAAGTACAAAACTGCAACTGTGTCTGAAAGTAGCTGTGAAGGTTGTTCCACTTTAAAACTGGCACTAAAAGTAATCAACATTTGTAATTGCACTGAAACACTGACATAGACAAAGCACACTATCATTCTATGCAGGAAGACAGCTATAGGAAGATTCGGGTTTTCTTTGATTTTCAAGTGTCCAGGCATGTTCAGCATTAAAGACACAATAAATGTATTTCTTTAGTGGAAACACTGGCACAGGTTAATTATCAAATGTTAGTGAGGGCGCATGTTTTAGAGTTCTGCCAGTCAACAGCATGACATCAACTTTGTGTGATACATATACATGAGCCTTCACATTGTAAACTTTAATGCCCGATCATGTTCGACAAGGAAATGTATATGACTTACTCTTTAGTCATGGTGCCGTGATTGTGGTCAAATTGACAGAACAGAGATAGCTGTAAACTCTGTGATGACAGTGAAGATGATTTCACTTCCTTTCAATTAAAATAGTTATAGAAGTTTCACACACGCAGTCTCCATGAGAGGTGTGAAAAGCATGTGGACAGACTGACGTCACATATCAGTACCTTTTTTTTTTTTCCACAAACGCTAGAACAACTTGACACTATGTTTATTTTTGAAGTTTCCCCCTTAATGACTGATAAGATTATTGTGCGGGTTTTAAAAAGTTCATGAAGTCAACTGAAACACTGATCTCCAGTTTCTCACCATGACTAAATTCTATTCTCAACAATGATTCATGTTTTCACATTAGAGCAAACACAAATCCAGGATAAGACCTCTGGCCTTTCCTTTACATGCTTGTAAAATCTAGTGAGCTCTGCCACTGCTGGAAATATTTCCTCCTTGGGACTGAAATGGTTACAGAGCTGGTGTAGTGTTTCATGATGAAGAGTGGCAGCCGATACCTTTAATAGCTCAATAGGATCCACCCACCCTTGAACAAACCCTCTTGATCTTAGAAAAACATCTTCGTCCTTGCCCCACAGTAACGTCTGCTGTGTTGTAAAGCCAAAGCAGAGATGCAACTCTTACTGCACTGACAAATATTCTCGCATTATACCCAGAAGGAGACGCTTGATTCCTGATTGAATCATCCTCATTAATATCCAGTGACGGTTGGTTATGCATCAGATAACAACACCTGATTGAGCATCCGAGTCAAACCACATTAATTCATAAAGACCCTGTCGCACAGACACTGTGACAACCACATTGGCTGAGAGGAATGTGGCACAGCACACAGCCAAGAAGAAATGAGGTCACATTATCCCATCTGGAGGAGAGAACAGAGGCAGGTTAGTACTAAGGGAGGCAGACCCACTCTCTAAATATTTAATGAGTTTCCGCACAGTTGGCCTTTTCCAGTCCTTGCCTTTGCAAAACAATAGCCATTATAGTCCTAGTCTGGTTATCTTACATGTAGAGCTTCAAAAAGCACACCAAGGACCAAACACATGGCTTTCATTCTCTATGCCAACCGTGATTGAGACCAGCCCTAAACTGTGACACTGTGCCATCACCGTTTTCTGAAAGACACCTTTGGTTGATAAATTCACAGCCAGTATGATTAACCTCATGAAGAGCTCAGGGTCAGATGTATTAATGTCACTGCCACCACTAGGTGTAAATGATCATTTTACTCATTTTACCAAAGAGCAATGGACACCACGAAAAAAAAAAATCAGATTTTTCTATTGTTCCATTGTTTCTGGAGTTCCCACCCATTTCCTCTCATACCAAGACTAAAAATGTCTGCCCTTAATTTAATTCTCTGTTGCGGTCATTCAATCCTCACAAGATTCTTGTCAGTGGTTGCTGCAACAGGGATGCGTCAGCAGACCTTGACTAATCTTTTATGACAAACAAAAAATCTCCAGAGAGCAGAGTTAAGGGAAGAGAAGTTGAAAAGCAACTATTATTGTATTGTGTTTCATTCTGGGTCCTGGATAATAAAGTTTAAAGGGCATGGCTCTGGAAAAAAAAAACATAAGGATCTAGGATAAGACGAATTGAGTTGTCAGTGTTTGTACCATTGACAATAGTATTCAACACCATGAATGAGACAGTGTAGAGGAGAAACTGTTGACATTGGAAATCATGTGTGAACAAACGTAAAATAAAAATTACACCAATTATAAAAAGTGTTTAATGTTTTGCAGGATAAACCGTCACAGGTTTTTGACATTTAGTGACCTCACCACTAGAAGTAATAAAGGAGTGCTACAGTATTAATAATATGCACATTAGTATTACACTAAAATGAATAGTATTGAACTAAAATGATGAGCAGCGATATTGGCTGAAATAACCATGATGTTATTGGTTGGTTCATATCTAAATCGACTAAAGAGGATCTAGTTACTGTATGTGTACTAGTGCTGAGCTTTGACCATACGATTTAGCCTCATGCAGTGAATGTAACTCGAGTCCAGCATTTCTGGATGTTTTAGTAAGACAACAGAAAAATAAATGGGTGACTCCAAATAGGTAAATTCCCTTGCTACAAGTATTTTTTTCAGTCAGATGAAAATGTGCACTAAGGTCACTGACCTGCCTGACCTTAAAGCAGTCATTAATATTTTTATAATAAGGTGTGTCAAATGACTATGTGTCATGTGAAATGGATTGTGCACAGTGATGAACCCACAGAGAGTCACCTTCAGCTCTATGAAGGTTTACAGCATCTTTCAACTGATTTTTTTAGTTTTGGATTTCCAGTCTGAAACACCGCTCTCATCAGTGTCGATTTCAGTCAGGGCAGGCCCCTAAAAAATCCACTTACATACTCACTGTGTACCTAGAAACATGTTCCAACATACCCAGACTAAAGCAATGCAGACCAACACCAGTGTGACACACTGAATAATACACATTGTGTTGAAGTTATCATTTGTTCAATCAGAACTGGGCATTGGACATGATGAGTCTACTGCAGTCTGGACACCACTGACATTGCAAACATACAATACTGACTGTAAGGTGCATCCTCAAATATAGTCTACAACACCTCCTGTATATTCTGCTTAGAAAACAACAAGGAAGTCTGATCAGTGAAACAGTAAAAAAAGATTAGCTGCTGCACCTGTTTAGTGTGTTTATATAAAGCTTTATGTCAACTCCTTTCATAGTGAATTGCACCCCTGGTAAGTGCATCTTCAAGCAAGGTCACTGTTCAACACGGTCTCTGTGCACGTAGGCATTCACACACTCATGTGCACAAAGGTCTGGAGATTAAAACAAGTTGCTGACCCACCTTAATATCAATATGTAACCACAGTGCAGTAATCACTTGTTGTGAAAATGATGCAATCTTGTGCACTGATCTTCCAAAACAGTCAAATCATTGTCATGCAGTCGGACAAAGACACCACGAGGCGAGGTGAACAGATCTGTGACCTTACCTGTAGTTCCCAGTGTTTTGTAGAACCGGTACTCTAAATGCAACTGTGGTGCCCTTGACTTCACTGGTTCCTGCACAGTGGACAAACCAGTGCTCAGTTAATGACAATAACCTCACAAACCAGAAAGAAAAACACCTTAAACTGAATTTTCCTAATATATTTAACCAGGAAAGAAACAATGAGATTTTCTTTATGAAAATGAATGTTTTGTCTGTATTGTCATTCTGTGACCTGAAGTGTCAGTCAATTTTTTCATGACTCATCTCGCACTTAAGGCCAAATACAAACATCAATTTTCCCCAAAAATCACCAGCAGCTCTTTCCTCTACCAAAATCTCAAACATATAAATGATGTCCTGTCAGCTGGGATTGAAAACGTCCATCATCGTTGTCTGAAACTCTGCTCGAGGACACAGCAGACTTCTTCCTTATCCGAGTCCTCCTGAAAAGTACTGAAACTATTGTCCCAAATACTTCAAAGCTCTGTAAAGTTTTCCCAAATGTTGCACTCTACATAAACATCCTGCTCAGTTTGGGGAAAAATGTCAAATCCCGTAAAAAACATTTGATAATATTTTAGTTAAAAGGGACAATTAAAAAAATGTATTTCTGATAAAATGTTTGGGAAACCTGGTAATGAACTAAAGACACACCCAGATTTCATAACAGTGCCTAATAGTGCCAAACTCTGCGTCTGTGTCAGCACACCATACAGTAGTGTGAGCAGCTGAAACCTACTTGCTTGGTGATGATAATACTTTGATAGTGAAATTATGACTCCCTAGTGAGCGATAATAAAAGCATGACTCAGGAGTCGTGACTTCCAGTCCAGCAGCCACTGGAAAGACACACCTAGCCAAGCGTCTACACCTCATTCACATTTTCCCCTAAGATCAGAGCAGTCCGGTCTCACAGCCACCTCACTGCACCACACTGGCACAACCTTAGCACTAAGTCATAGTTCTTGCCAAGGACTATGAAAAACATGCAAGATGTGTCTAATTGAGTGCTTGTCTAACATTTGTATCACTTGTATCACTGCCAGCACTGACATTATATCATACTAGTAACATTTCAGATGCATCTGTAAATTCAACAACACTGAGTGCTCCATCATGCATCTGTCTTTGTCTCTTTTTTTTTTTTTAACATAATAATGAACAATTTCAGTTATTTCAGTAGTGATTACTTTATTCAAACAACAATAACAATAATATGGTTCTTGTAAGGTGATGTAATTTATGAAGTTCTGGACCAATGTTATTGATCCTGATTTAAAAGGTTTGGTACTTTCTTTGTCAATTTCATCTATCATTTTGGGATTTATATATGTGCAGAGGTGAGGAGTCAAGCAGAGAAACAAACTGTGCACTTACCAGTTTAATAGCTACATACTCGTTGGTGTAGAGATTTTTACCTGAAATAAAGACAGGAAAGGAAAAGCTTACATTACATGGCTTTCAAAAGTAAATAACACCACTTAAGCCTTCACAACATGTTTACCAGGATATAAGCAACTATCAGTGATGATAGTGATACACTCAGTTGTCAGTTTATTAGGCACATCTAATCAGCAAACAACCAAAGATAGTGTAGTCTAATAGACCAGCCCTGCAAAAGATTATAGCTTCATTAAAGTTTTAATGTTCAGTTTTATACTGAGAGATGTTTCAAACATTTACAATACCCTGATTCACATAATGGGATGGACAAAATATTAGAAATATATCTCAGTATAATGCAATGCAATTAAGCAGTAGCAGTTTTTTGAATTACAGCCTTCAAAATGGCCATAAAGTTGAATGAACACTTCCCGCAAACTGTTTAGATTCAAACTGAACATTATAACCTTCATGAAGTTACAATTTGTTGCAGGGCTGGTGTATTAGTTTGGGTTAGATGTATCTAAGTAACTGGTGACTGAGTGTAGTTACACAAAGAACCATTAAGAACTGCTATAAGAACTTCAAAATTCACTTTGTCTTGAACCATTTAACACAAGATTTAAACTTAACTTACCAAGCTTCAATTCACCAAAGTTTCCACAGCCAATCTTCTTGCCCACACGAAAATTTGGCCCCACCATGAGGACCCCAGAGGAACTTGAAGAGCCAGATGGTCGAGATGAGTGTCCACTGCGGCTGCCCTGGGAAACCTTTGTGCTCCTGGCAGGCCGCTCTCCATATTTATCTCTTTGTTGATCCATGGTGTGAGCAGCACAGGTCAGCGGGAGCCTGGAGTGATGTACAAAAAGGCCTCCTGGGCCGGGCCCACCACAGCCACAGCCCTGGTCACTGGCAGTGCCTGGGCGGCACAGTTACTCTCATGAGACAAAACCTGGTACAGCTAACCAACACTCCTCCCGTCCTCACCCTGTCACCTCTAGCAGCTGTCGTACAGGCTGATCTCTGGCCTCAACATTTGTCACAGGAAGGAGAAGGTGGAAGACCTGCAGCAGAAAGAACACAACATGACAAAGAGATAAGACCTTAACTTCCTATAGAGAGCAGCACATAGAACATGGAGTTATCCCCCATGTTACTCTAATAAAATCCCCCATAATATCTGGCTTAAGAACAACTACAACATGCAGACTGATCTTTCTCAGGAAGCTACTTCTTTAACAAACTGTAAAAATATTAGCTCTTAAAACATAAAAACAAATTATCGCACTCAAAATATTTCAATTACAGTTCCACTTGAAGGGACCTGATACCATGTCATGTTGAAAATGGTGGAGCAGCTACATTACACTTGGGCAAGACAATTAATTTGAAAATTTGAGAGAAAGCTCCATTTGCTAATCTTAACTCTTAGAAAAGATTACTAATATCATAAGGAATAATAGCGTTCCCACTGACAATTTAACAGTGTAATATTTTCTAATTTCAATTTAACCATATGATCGCAACACATTTTGAAAGTTGAGTCATATACATACACTGTCTACACAAGTAGACAGTGGTAGATGAGGACAGAAGTGGCTCACTATAACAGCACTGCTGAGCTGAAGAGATAGTCATCAACTCACAGTGGTCACAGAAAACACAGCAGCCAGTTTGAGCATCAACACAAACCTTAAGTCATAGTTTGTGATCGCAAAAGTATCTAAGACTCTCCACCACCCACAGCTATAGCCCCGCGGACGATATCAGCAGGAAATATTATGTAAACAATTATATAAAGCTACGTCTGCTCGCAAGGACACAAAAGTTTAACTTTGTGGACACTGGTCTGATTTTGTCAAGTACTCAGCAAAATCATTTCGGTTCAATCTACCCCCTTCTACCATGGGCATGAATTGTGCAAATATCAAATTATGTGATTATAAAACATACAGACAATTTGCTGTATGATAAAGCAATCACACACACACACACACACACACATATATATATATATATATATATACACACTATATACACACACGTAAAATTTTTTAAACTGCCTCTTTGGGGACTTCCTATTGTGTTAAGCATCTTCAGTAAGTTAGTGTACTGAAGCAAACTGCAGTCGAAAAGGTCAACTGTACATTAGGCAGACTGCCAGTTCCATTAATTATAATTATCACTAATTATTCAAAGAAAAATATAAATAAAAAAAACACTTTTATGTTTTCAATTAAAAAACAACTTTTTATGTTTCCAAAGGAAAAAAAAACAACAGCGGCTAATGTTTTCATGACAATGTTGTAATTCCTGAGCACGGCTGCAAAGGCTGCTGCTCAAAGTATTTGTGTGTGGGCTTCCGGATGACTCATGCTCAGTATTGCCTGCACAGATCTCAGCATCAAAGACAGCTAGTTTGCTCTCAAGGGCAACTGTGCACTGTTGCTGTTACATAAAACCAGGAACAGAACAACATGGCTATAAAACAGGTTTGCAGCAGAGACCAGTGGTGAGCTGTAACAGTTTCCATTGTGCAAATAATCATTTGTAGGCTCCTCTGAACCTGTGTGCACCAGTGTTTAGCTTTGCTCAGGTTACCATCTTCACACACACACTCTGTGGTGGATGCAGGATCACACACACACACACACACACACACACACACACACACACACACACACACACACACACACACACACACACACACACACACACACACACACACACACACACACACACACACACACACACACACACACACACTTCAGCCTATTCACACCCCAGACTGCAACTGTGGTTATATATACATCACTGTTAAACTACAGAATTATACCTGACCTTGTAATACTACTAACAGAGCTTTAAACTTCCAAGTTGTTCAAAGTTGTTGCAACAATATTATGGTTACACTGAAGACGTCTACGTCTACTATATGTTAGCATGGACGTTGCTCAAGGAGGAGAGGCAAGATTAATTCTAACCCGTCAGCTGACACTGGGTAACCACATATGCTGGTCATTTGTTCCTGCTCAGGCAAATTAAGGCTGATCAAATGTTTCAAAACTTTCTTCACCTCCACAACACTGATGCTAAAATCTGTGTTGAACACTTCTTTCGAGACACGAGAGTGCAATACATGCAACACACAAGGAAGACACCAGACTAGGGCTGCACAATTGATCGAAATATTATCGAAATTGCAATACGGCTAAGTGCAATATCCAAATTGCAGGAGCTGTAATTTTTGTAGTTTTTTTTTGATGAAGGTAAAATGTGTAAAATCGTGACCCATATCACAATAACTGCCAAAATAATTGCAATATTTTTTTTTGTGCATATCGTTCAGCCCTAAACCAGACCAGTTTTAAATTCTTCTGTTTTTACTGAAAATTATGTGCAAGCTTCACTTCAAGGTGTTTTCACATTAAAGTCAGAGAGCCATTTACTGATGTTGACTTGCACAGTTAACACTTCTGTCACAGGTGCTGCCATGTATGAGAGAAGGAACAAAGTGTAAATTGAATGAGGCCAACATGTTTTTCTTTTTTGAAAAGCAAATGTACAGTGTCTTTGCCTTTTCTCTGCATTTGTCATTTGTGTTACCAGTAAGACTGTAACACCACAGCCACACTTTGTTTTAAACATGTTCAGACATGCCCAACCTGAGGATTAGGATGGGAAAAATAAACATTAAGGTTAGACAAGACCTTAATTCATACTATATTAGGCAGCAATTCTACACTTCATGAAGATGGCAAAACATCTGCAACTACTACTACCTACTTTAATTACAAAGGTGCATCACTCACATTACATGCTGTAATGAGCCTCTAGGTATGATATATCTACCTAGAGGTGTATCGTTTCTTCTGGTTATTGATACACGTTTGTTATTTATGTGTTATGTGCTCGTTATGAAATATATGTTATTATTTAATAAAATGTAACTTGTAACCAAGTCAGTAATAAGGTCTTTCTACCCGATTTCTATCTCACATTTTAGAATAAGAGTCACAACTAAATTTTGTTTCATTTATCTTGCAGGGATGGAGAAAATACCATCTACAGCTTGAAACTGGAATTCAATCCAATCCAACTACTGCATTTGTAAATGTTCAGTTTTAGCTGAAACTGTGTTAGAGGAGTTGACCCAATGCTTTAGCATTTTTTAGGCCATAGTAAGTGGCTCATGTCTGTATAAGTGATTCACAAAATAAATGCATTAAATTACAATGTATTACATTGCGCAGACATTCAAATCTGTTTAAATTCATCTCAGTCGACCACTTAATTAATACAGTGAAGAACAAATTCAAGCAATCCGCTGGACTGTTACTGAGGATCTGAAAATGCTCTGTGGTCTGTACAAATGGCTTCTTCCGTTTTGATTAATGGCTTCTTCAGTTTTGATGTAAGGTGGGGAATACCCAGTCTTTATCCCTGTGGAGCTGCCATGTCTCCTGATACGTGAGGATAAGTTTGAGGATACACGCCTTTTGGCACTGTATAAAAGTAATTTTCTTTCTCACGTGAAGAAGACATGAAAGGATTTTAGATATTCACATCCCATTAGATTTAGCTAATTGACTCCTTTCTTTACTGATTTGTTTAACAATTCTTTTTTTTTTTTTTTTTTTTTACAGCAATTCAAAATGTCATGACTTGTGGATGAATACTTAAGTGTAAATTGGTTTTGCGAGGGTTGCTTAAAATTTGCTCTGCTAATATTGCTTTTAGCCCTGGTCCAGTTTGTTAAAATGCACTGAAATGTGCAGGTATTAATACAAGGAACTGATACTGTCAGAGCTGCATGATGGGAATCAGACAGAAACGGCCTTAAATGAGAACTGATTCTTGATTCCCATCCCTGCTTCACCAGGTGAGGCTTTGGTCTGATGAGCATGTTGGAGAAATGCTGAGGTGGTGCTTAATTGTTGTTACTGTGTCCGTGCTTTGTATTTTCAGTGTCATATTACACTTTCATGGTAGATACTTGAGTTGGTTTTGTGCTGGACTTATAGTAGAGCAGATGTGTGGTAAATGTGGCTGCCTGTTTGCTGATGGTATAGCTGTATGACGGCACAGTCTAATGTTTGATATAGTTTAATCTGATTCTGACATCACCTGTATGAGTATTTAAGAAATGATAACATCATTATGAACACTGAATAATGAACCTATTTAACATTAAATGCAAGAATTATACAAATATTTAGCATTCTTATAATTACATATTACAGAGGATGCTTTTTAAAATGAAGTTGTTGTGGCTACAGACAAATGATCTGCTGATCTCTCATCAGTGTCACATCACTAATATGCTTTTAGGTGAAAATTTACATCAGACTACTTAATTTTCTAGTTCTAGTCAGACTGAAAATGATGACACAGTGATTTTGTGCTTATAAAAGTATATAAACAAGCTCTAATGTTATTTTCACAATGCTGCTGTTATTATTATTATTATTATTATTATTATATCTGAGTGAAATGTGGAGAAAGTGTAAAACATACACAAAAGTACAACTGTTTACTGTCTAATAACAGGCACAAAACCAAAGCAGCAAGACTGACACCAAAAAGGCGAGAAAAGGGTTGTTTGATGACGCTGGTGATCAAAACTAAATGTTTCAATAGTTTAGAAAAATACAAGAAATTGGTTAATTGCTAGTTTTAAAATCCAGCACCATTCACTGGTACACTTACTTCAGACACAAACAAAGATGGAAATGAAAATTTGCCTGTCAAATATATCTTGAGATACTGAAATGCTTCTAGCTGATTAGTCTCTATTAAAAATGACTAATCTGTTGACATCTTTTCATTTTTACAGAAACATAAAGGCTCTGAGTGGAGTGATTAACCTTCAGTGGA